ATTTTTTTTCATCCCCACACACAGTGTTTCACACACCCACCGCACGCCGCGCCCGCACGCCCACCGCCCCGCCTAGTGTCTCTCCGTACGGCTTGTTAGGACCGAGTGACTTCGAGAAGTCACTCTTCAAAGCGTTCACACGAGGCATCGCGACCGTTTCTTGCGCCGATCTTTGATCAAAATCAAGGCTAACCAGCCTAGAGATGACCCCTAGACACTCACCTACCTTGCCGACAGCCCACGCTGCGTCCGTCTGAAGCACCTCAACGCTCAAGTACGCCGGTTGAGACGCGCCCGAAACGGGGTGACTTCTAAAAGTCACTCCGCATGTGGGCCGCCCTCGCGGTCGTCTGACGCGCCCTCCGGCCGCCGCACACTCGCCACTCACCCCCTCTCACCTCTAGATGATGCGGCGGCGCGCACGGGGCACCGCGGCGGCCGGCGCCGCGGCGGCCGGCGCCGCCGCTGCCGGCGCAGGCGCAGGCTCAGGTCGCCGGTACGGCGATGGACGATCGCCGCGTCGCGGCGGGGGGCGCTGCTGTGCCCGATGCGACGGCTCCTCTTCGAGCAGGTGCTTGGCAAAGCCGGTGAGGGTCGCCAGCTTTTGTCCCGACCGGGCTGAAGATCGCGTAGCCAACCTGGCTCGGGTCCGGGAAGCACTGTGTGCAGTGGTAGGACCGCATGTACCCGCACTGATGCTTCTTGCTTGAGCACGAGCACAATAAACACGAGCACAGACGCCGTGTCGCCTAGGGCTGTCCGCCTCAAACGTCGCACGGCGCCTCGAATTCGCGCAGACCAATGTAGTATGTAGTCGATGCCGGAGCGTGCGCATTGGTATTGAGAGTCTGAGGTAGGCGGCGTCGCGCAGTAAGCGCAGTATAATGCATTCGATTTGGATACCGGCGCTTGCGTGGGAGCGCAGACAGCGTCGGCCGCGGTGTGCCAGCGAATGTGGTGGTCCTCTTGTCCACTGCGTCCGAGCCGAACCAGCTGTCCACACGAGAAGCGGCGGCGCGTGGGAGAGCCACGACGAGGTCGACCGCCTCGACCAGTCAGCCTCCGGCACAGCATTGGGTGCCTGCATGTCGCCGGGATTGCGTCGCTTGTGTCATCGCGTAGCGGTGCGGAGGCAGCGCCGTATATCGCCTCTTGCCCGCGGGGACGAGCGCTCCAGCGGAAGCCGCAATCGTCTCGAGGAAAGAGAAAACAATGCTGGGAACTCCGCGGTAAGGTAAGGTAAGGTAAGGTAAACTTCTCCACACACACGAGGTGGTGGGGCAAGGGGGGGGCAACCCTCGCGTCTCCACGTCTGACGACAGGAGCCCCACGACATTCAAAGTCCAAGGCCCAGTGCGCGTGGCCGTGGGTGAGCGGTGTGTGTGTGTGTGTGTGTGTGTGTGTGTGTGTGTGTGTGTGTGTGTGTGTGTGTGTGTGTGTGTGTGTGTGTGTGTGTGTGTGTGTGTGTGTGTGTGTGTGTGTGTGTGTGTGTGTGTGTGTGTGTGTGTGTGTGTGTGTGTGTGTGTGTGTGTGTGTGTGTGTGTGTGTCACGTCACTGCATCCTCCGCCGGTTCCTCCCGTCGCCTCTTCTTTGTTCGAATGTATTTCAATCCATCCTTCACGAAGCCCTCCCATGTAGCTAGCGTTCTTTGCGAATGTCTTGAGATGGCCAGCAGGCGCTGTCTGCTCGCGGCCTGTGCGGGCCGCTCGTCCTCCTCGCCCTTCTTTCGTCCTCCCATCCCTCCCCTCCACCATGGCCTTCTCGGCACTTCTTTCTCCATCCGCCTCGCCCTGCCTTTTCGTATCGTGCCGTTCGCCCTCCATTTGGTGACCTCCATGGCTGTCCGCCTCCTTTTGGGTGGCGCTCTCGATACGGTTGCGTCAACCTCGACGTCGCTGTCGCCCTCCCCGTCCCCTCCGTCGTCCGTGCCTCGGTTCGCGTCATCGGTAGCGTCTCCGTTGTTCCCTCGTGCTCCGCCGTCGCCCTCTCTGCTCGGGCCGTTCGCGATCTCGCTCCTCCTGCGTGTCGCCCCTCCGGCTCCCCCCCTGCCTTCGTCGTCATCGTCGCTGTCGCGAAAGCCCTCCGGCCCCTCGATTCCCTCGCCTATCCCCTCCGCTGCGTCGTCCCAGTTTATATCCTCATCCTCTGCGCACGTCGCGTTGGCTTCCTCTCTCCCCCTTTCCACCTCCCTGCCCCTCTCGCTGTCTGGTGTTAGAGCAGGCGCACATCGCTTCCAGGGAGGGGGGCGCGCTTCTCTGCACACCACATGCTAGGGGGGGGGGGGGGGGCGACCCCCCCAAAGGCTTCCCCCCATGCTAGGGGGGGGGGGGGGCGTGCAAAAAAACCCCCCCCCCTCACTGGAAACGATGTGCGCCTGCTCTTAAAGGACCCCCTTCCTTTCCCTCGCCACTGTTACTGTCGCCATCCCCGTCGCTACCGCCCTCCATCCCCGCCGCCCTTTGTCTCACACTCGTCTCTGCCGTGTCCGCTGTCGCCGCTGTCCTGTCTGTTGCGCTCTGTGCTCCGTGGTACAGTCGCTTATTGTTGCTCAGGATTAGCTCACGCACCAGGACAGCCTCCGGCTCGTTATTTTGGCTTGCCGATATGCATCCAAAGTTCCACGCTAGCTCCTCCTTCGTCACGTCTATCTTTTTGCAGTATCCCGCGAATGCCGTCCGCGCTTGCTGGGGTGTTATTGCGTTCGGATTCGCCCTCGTCCCCGCCTTGTATCCCATCTCCTTGCGGTGGCTCCTGTATGAGTCCCCATATGACCATGTGATTTCTTTGCCTTCCTTGACTCCTTTCTCTGCAAACAGGACCATCACTTGCGCAGCCGCCTTGCCTAATTAGCGGAGGCCGCAATCGTCTCGAGGAAGGAGAAAACAATTTGCTTTGAACTCCGCCAAGCTGCTCTAGGAGCCTCTCCCGTCGCGGCCCGACTGGGGCCGAGTCCGCGGGGGCTCGCCAGGGGCTCGCACGGTGCACGGGCCGGCCGCTAGAGCACGTACTGTGCTTAGTGATAGTGACTTCTTGAAGTCACTCCTAACACAGAAAAAGAAAGAAAGAAAACAGACAACCCAAGGGAGGGATGGGAGGACGGCACGCCGCCACCACACAGGGATTTTAAGGAGAGGTGTGTGGTGCGCTAGCCGTCGCCCACCCTAGGGAGTCTGCCTCTTCCTATCTCTCTTCGCAGTCTCTCACATAGACACTAGGCCTGACGGTTTTTTTCTTCTAGATGGTGTTGCCATGATTATGAGCCTCTCCCGACGCTTGGCTGCCTGGCTGCGGCCTTTGGCGAAGGAGTGCATCGCTGGCGCAGCGGTCGCTGGCGCAGCGGCGGGCGCGGTATGCGCGGTTGTCCTGCACCGCCGACTCACCGCCACGCGCGCTGCACTCGACGCCATCGAGGAGCGACTTGCGGCGCACAGCACCGGTCTCGACTTTTTGGCGCAGGAGCTGGAGGCCCTGCGGCTCGCCCTGCGGCAGCCGCAGCTTGCGGGCTCCTCCAACTCCTCCGTCTCTGGCCGGCCGGTCCGCTCCGTCGGCGGCGGCTCGCGCACGGCGTCGATGGCGACCGCCGAGGACGAGGGTCTCTCCGAGGCGGGCTGGTCGGACGCGGGCTGGTCCGAGGCGGGCGGGTACCGTACCGCCGACGAGGAGGATCTCGACGACCTGCTGCTGTCCGCGCCGGCGCCCTTCTCGCACAAGCCGCCTCCCCCGCTGCACGGCGCCGAGCGCGCGGCGGCGGACTCGGACGCGGACGCGGACGGCGCGTCGGCCGCCACACCGCCGCGCGGCGGCGCGAGCGCGGCGGAGGAGGAGGGGGCCTCCTCCGCCGCGGCGTCGGCAGCGGCGCCGTCGTCCGCGCTGGCCGCGCGAGTGCAGGAGGCGGCCACGCTTGTGGTGCGTGCGGACGAGGCGTACGCGGCGCGCGAGACGGGCCTCGCGCGGTCGCTGTTGGAGGAGGCTTCCGCCCTCGGCCTTCCGGATGCTGCGCGGGCAGAGGTGCGCTGGCGGATCGCCCGCACGCTCAAGGAGCTCGCCGACGAGGAGAAGGCGGCGGGGCAGGCGGGCGGCAGCGACGGCGCGAGGAAGGCGAGGCCGAGAGCAGCGCGAGAGGGCGATGAGATTACCCGAGGGGGGGCGAGAGGAGCGCGAGAGGAGCCGAGGGGAGGCCGAGGGGAGGCCGAGGGGAGCCGAGGGGAGGCCGAGAGGAGCCGAGGGGAGCCGAGAGCACCCGAGAGCACCCGAGAGCACCCGAGAGCACCCGAGAGTACCGGAGAGCACCCGAGAGCAGGCGGCCAAGCAGCGCGAGAAGTCGCTGATGCTCGAATCGCTCGGCGCGGCGCGGGAGGCGGTCGATCTCGACGGCGACCAGTTTGGCGCGCGCAAGTGGGTACGCGATCGCCGAGGCCTTTCTTTTGCGACGGAGGAGTTCTGGTTTTGCACAGGCGCTCACAAGTGGTACGCGATCGCGCTCTCCATCACTTCGGCGTACGACGGCGCGAGAGCAAGCCGTCGAGCTGTCCTTGGCGACGAGTGGCTGCTGCTATGAGGACGGGGTCGTGTGTACAATAGGCGTGCGTGCAGCGATCGAGCAGTCCTTCACGGCGCGAGATTGCGCGAGATTCTCACGAGAACGTCCCGAGATTACCCACCGAGCGTCCTTCGAGGGGAGGTCGAGGGGAGGTCGAGGGGAGGTCGAGGGGAGGCCGAGGGGGAGCCGAGAGGGAGCCGAGGGGAGCTGAGCGTCTTTCGAGAGGAGCCGAGAGGAGCCGAGCGTAGGTGCGCGAGCACTTTGAGGCGGCGGTGCGGCTGGCGCCGGCAGACGCGACTTCGCGCCACCTGCTCGGCCTCTGGTTTTACGAGGCGGCGGGGCGTGTCGTGGGCGATGCTTGAGAAGTCACAGTCTACGCACTCGTCTTGCGCTTAACAGGCGGCGGGGCGCGTCGTGGGCGACGCCGTGTCATCAACGGAGAAGAACAGTACCAACAACCATGCGTAGGTCGCGGGCCACTGCCGGGGCGGGGGGCACGCTTTCATCTCACAAAGAATGCGATGAGAGCGCGTACATTGTAGGTGGCGGGCCTGGCGAGATAGGAGGGAGATAGGAGGAAGATATGATCTCGCGTACATTGTAGGTGGCGGGCCTGTCTTGGGCGACGCGCAAGGTGGCCGCCGCCCTCTTCGCCACGCCGCCAACGGCGAGCCGTTTGTGCCGAGGCCAGTCTTGTGCCTCGCCAGCAGTGGTTGGGGCACCGCCCTCGTCCTTGAGTGAGTAGGGGAGCCACGCTGAGGCGCTCGCGCATTTCGAGGCGGCGGAGGCGCTCTCTCCTTGCTTCTAACTCAAGACCCTAAGTGTACCAATCAAGACTGGTTCATATTAACTAACACTAAAGGCGCTCTCTCCCGGCTTCTACCTCAAGAACCAGGTCTGCCTCGCGAAGTGCAGTCTGGCGCTCAAGGTGACCTCCCCCCCCCCCCCCCACCCACCCACACACACACACACACACACCACCGCTCACCCACGCGCACCGGGCCTTGCCCTGAGACGCGGAGTCGCGAGGGGTAGCTTGGCACCTCGTGTGTGTGTGGAGAAGTTGACCTGACCTCACCTGACCTCACCTGACCTCACCTGACCTTAGGACAAGCCGGCCGCGCGCCGCTGGCTGGCCTCCGCCGCGGCGATGGCGCCAAAGAGCGCCGATGACGAGGCGTCGCTCGCAGAGGCGAAGAAGCTGCTGGCTTCGTTGTGAAGTCGGGGAGGGCGGGGAAGGCGATACCAACTTTGTGCGACATCGGGCGGGGGGCAGGAGGAACGTACCCTCTGCCCCGATGCGCCGCGAGCGAGCCAGCGGCCATTCCCGCCTCCCAGCTCGGGGAACTTGCCTCCAGACCCGTCCCGTGCCCGCCGCGTTTCTCTACATGTTCTCTATTAATTTGCATACTAGCCCGGTCGAACACCCCGGGTCGCGATTTTGGCAAGTGAATATGGGGGCATTTTACGATGAAATAAGAATCTAATGCCCGAGAGAAACACATAGACACCCACATGGTTGACCAACCCTTAATCTAGGTGAGGGTCAGTATGTTCACATTCACACCCAACAGACCGGCTCCAGCACACACGTACGAGCGTCTCAGCGCACACAGCGGCATCCTCCGCGCCTAGGCCTCCATAGCGTCCTCGCCCTCGCCCTCCTCGCCCTCCTCGTCATCGTCCTCCTCCTCCGCCTCGAGCGCCGCCTCGTAGTCAGCGACAAAGTCGACCTCCCCGCACGGCACCTGGTCCTCCTCCTCCCACGTCGCGATCTCCGGGGGCCAGCCCTCCCACAGTACCTTGTAGAGCACCGTCCCCGCCGCGATCTCCTCCCCCTCCCGCCCCGGCACGTCCCCGCCGTCGGCACGACGGCGGCGGCGGGCGCCTCCCGCGCACCGCCGCGGCGATGAGCCCGAGCGCGTCCATGTCGAGGAGACGCACGGCGCTCGAGGCGCCGAGCCGCTCGTGCGTCCCCATCGCAAAGGCGAGGAGCTTGAGGTAGGCGGGGATCTCTGCTGCTGCGGCGGCGCCGCCGCCGCCGCCGCCGCCGCCCGCGTCGGCCGCGGTCGAGGTGATCTTGGGGAAGACGAAGCGCGTCGCCGACTCGATCTCGAGCGCGCGCATCGCCCGCTCGGCCTCGGCCTGGGTGTTGCCGCCGCGCTGGGACGCTGAGCGGAGGCGCGAGCACACCAACTCGCGGCGCTTGTTGTAGTCCTTGACGTGGCGCTCGCATGCCTGCCAGAGCGACCTCACCGCGGGGCTGGCGGACATGGGCAAGGACACCGGCCCGCTCGCGCTCGCCGCCGCGCAGGCAGCCACCCAGCGGGCAAAGATCAAGGCCTTGTTGTGATAGAGCCCGTCCGTCGCCTTCGCCATCTTAGTGGCCAAATTGAGGAGGTAGGCGACGTGCGAGAGGGTGAGGCCGCCCACGGGGCAAGCCACGGCCAGCGCCACGGCGCTCGGCTCCTCCTGGGTCGCCACTGAGGCCAAGGCAGCAGCCACAGCCTGGGAGGAAAAGTGCGCCGCCGACGCGCACTTCTCGTGCGGGTCTTTCTCGGAGTTGTCGGGGGCGTGCGAAGCTACCGCCTGCGAACGGCCGGTTGGCAGACGTCATGGCCGGCATGTGCGACCCTTAAGAACCCGCGTGCGACCAGAAGGTCGGCTGTGAGGCGAGGCTGAAGGCAGCCCAAAAACTGGTGGATTTGTGTTGCTGACAGTTGTGGGCGATCCAGCGCGAACTGACGGCAGGTAAGCCGGCAGGTGGGGGGCGGGGGTGTGCCGGGTGGATCCCCAAGCGGGCGAGCCGGGCCCGCGCATAGTTCGCGCTCGGGGGGCGCGCGAGCATGGAAAGACGCACCTCCATCGTCCTTGCTTACCGGCGCTTTTCGGCCGTTGGCACCATCGTTGATTGCGCGGGACTGAAATCCCAAATCTCTCAGCTCGAAGGGGGAATTTATTTGTTTGGGGGGTGTTCGACCGGGCTATGCATACAGAGTCTGGCGTAATCGAGATCTCTGCGAGAGAGTAGTAGATCGCAGACAGTGTAGATCGCAGACCAGGAGAGAGGAGTGCAGGAGATCCTAGCCGATTCTACCACACAGTCGGGCTTGGACCTTGGTTGAAGAGGCTAGTTCCATTTCAAAGTGGCACCGCCCGCGTTGTATCCTGTTCGTAGCCAGGTAGCTGTGAAGAGGATGCGAACCCATCGTCCGATATTGCTTCTTGCTTTTGGTATAGGGCTGAAATTCTTCGGCAAATGGCACACATGGAGTCGGGGGCGAGCGGCTGCCAAGAAGGCGCGCTGTACCCCCTTGCGAGCATGTACGAGGTTGCCCGAAATGCCGCCTGCCGTTTGGTAGATTGGAAGAAGACCCTTGGACCAAAGCAGCCCGGAGAATCGGCGCGCAGTCCCAGACTGACGGCCGGTGGCATGAAGCAAGATCGACTTCGGACCAAGTGTCACGTGACGCAAACGTGACGAAATTGCCAATTTGCGCCCTCGGCCCGACCTCTTGGCTAGAAATGACTCCCCCGATGCTCGGTTTGAACATCTCGCAAGCTGGCGTCGCTCGCATAACTGTGACAGGGCGATCCTCCCCTCGACGGAAGGGAGATCCAGAGCAGCTCCTGCTCTGCCCGCCGCCTGGCTGTTTGGCGACAGCAGAAGCCCGCGCAACTGCGTGGGTCCGCGCCACAGGTAGAGACGTTGAGCTTGGCAATGATTTGGTTGTCGTTCGGTCACGGGGCCTGGCGAGGTAGGAGCAGTGCCGATGCGGCGAATAGTCGTGCTTAGCTTCCTAGGCACCCGCAAATGTGCCCTCAACGCGATGCGTCGGCCGGCGGCGCGAGAGGAGCGCCGTGCGGCCCCGTCGGTGCGCCGCGCTGTCGCTCCGCCGCTAGCCGAGCCAAGGCACGCCATCGCCATCGGGGTGGCGATGGATGCGTGCTGGCGAGGGTCGGGGCGGCGGTCCTGACGCGCCGCTGCGTGGCCGCAGTGGCGCGCTCGACGCCGTGCGTCGAGTAGAGGAGCCGCGACGAGGGCGAGGCCGCCCTGTCGCCGCGTGGCGAGCCAGGCCTGTCCGCCGAGCCGCTGCCAGCCGCTCGTCCCGTGAGGCGGCGTCGGCAGCGTGTGCAGCTGGCGAGGCGGTGGCCGCATTCGGCTCTCTCCTGGGCATCCGCCGCGTGAGTGCGGTGGTGCTGCCGACGCGATGCCTCGGTTGGCGGCGCGAGACGAGCGCCGTGCCGCTCCGTCGGTGCGCCGCGCTGTTGCTCCGCCGCTAGCCGAGCCAAGGCACGCCATCGCCATCGGGGTGGCGATGGATGCGTGCTGGGGCGGGGCGGCGGTCCTGACGCGCCGCTGCGTGGCCGCAGTGGCGCGCTCGACGCCGTGCGTCGAGTAGAGGAGCCGCGACGAGGGCGAGGCCGCCCCGTCGCCGCGTAGCGAGCCGGGCCTGTCCGCCGAGCCGCTGCGAGCCGCTCGCCCGTGAGACGGCGTCGGCAGCGTGTGCAGCTGGCGAGGCGGTGGCCGCATTCGGCTCTCTCCTGGGCATCCGCCGCGTGAGCGCGGTGGTGCTGCCGACGCGATGCGTCGGCTGGCGGCGCGAGACGAGCGCCGTGCCGCTCCGTCGGTGCGCCGCGCTGTTACTCCGCCGCTAGCCGAGCCAAGGCACGCCATCGCCATCGGGGTGGCGATGGATGCGTGCTGGCGAGGGTCGGGGCGGCGGTCCTGACGCGCCGCTGCGTGGCCGCAGTAAAGCGCTCGACGCCGTGCGTCGAGTAGAGGAGCCGCGACGAGGGCGAGGCCGCCCTGTCGCCGCGTGGCGAGCCAGGCCTGTCCGCCGAGCCGCTGCGAGCCGCTCGCCCGTGAGACGGCGTCGGCAGCGTGTGCAGCTGGCGAGGCGGTGGCCGCATTCGGCTCTCTCCTGGGCATCCGCCGCGTGAGCGCGGTGGTGCTGCCGACGCGATGCGTCGGCTGGCGGCGCGAGACGAGCGCCGTGCCGCTCCGTCGGTGCGCCGCGCTGTTGCTCCGCCGCTAGCCGAGCCAAGGCACGCCATCGCCATCGGGGTGGCGATGGATGCGTGCTGGGGCGGGGCGGCGGTCCTGACGCGCCGCTGCGTGGCCGCAGTGGCGCGCTCGACGCCGTGCGTCGAGTAGAGGAGCCGCGACGAGGGCGAGGCCGCCCCGTCGCCGCGTAGCGAGCCGGGCCTAGGCGGCGTCGGCAGCGTGTGCAGCTGGCGAGGCGGTGGCCGCATTCGGCTCTCTCCTGGGCATCCGCCGCGTAAGCGCGGTGGTGCTGCCGACGCGATGCGTCGGTTGGCGGCGCGGGACGAGCGCCATGCCGCTCCGTCGGTGCGCCGCGCTGTTGCTCCGCCGCTAGCCGAGCCAAGGCACGCCATCGCCATCGGGGTGGCGACGGATGTGTGCTGGCGAGGGTCGGGGCGGCAGTCCTGACGCGCCGCTGCGTGGCCGCAGTGGAGCGCTCGACGCCGCGCGTCGAGTAGAGGAGCCGCGACGAGGGCGAGGCCGCCCTGTCGCCGCGTAGCGAGCCGGGCCTGTCCGCCGAGCCGCTGCGAGCCGCCCGCCCGTGAGACGGCGTCGGCAGCGTGTGCAGCTGGCGAGGCGGAGGCCGCATTCGGCTCTCTCTTAGGCACCCGCCGCGTGAGCGCGGTGGTGCTGCCGACGCGATGCGTCGGCTGGCGGCGCGAGACGAGCGCCGTGCCGCTCCGTCGGTGCGCCGCGCTGTTACTCCGCCGCTAGCCGAGCCAAGGCACGCCATCGCCATCGGGGTGGCGATGGATGCGTGCTGGCGAGGGGCGGCGGGCGGGGCGGCGGTCCTGACGCGCCGCTGCGTGGCCGCAGTGGCGCGCTCGACGCCGTGCGTCGAGTAGAGGAGCCGCGACGAGGGCGAGGCCGCTCCGTCGCCGCGTGGCGAGCCAGGCCTGTCCGCCGAGCCGCTGCGAGCCGCCCGCCCGTGAGACGGCGTCGGCAGCGTGTGCAGCTGGCGAGGCGGTGGCCGCATTCGGCTCTCTCCTGGGCATCCGCCGCGTGAGCGCGGTGGTGCTGCCGACGCGATGCGTCGGCTGGCGGCGCGAGACGAGCGCCGTGCCGCTCCGTCGGTGCGCCGCGCTGTTACTCCGCCGCTAGCCGAGCCGAGGCACGCCATCGCCATCGGGGTGGCGACGAATGCGTGCTGGCGAGGGGCGGGGCGGCGGTCCTGACGCGCCGCTGCGTGGCCGCAGTGGCGCGCTCGACGCCGTGCGTTGAGTGGAGGAGCCGCGACGAGGGCGAGGCCGCCCTGTCGCCGCGTAGCGAGCCGGGCCTGTCCGCCGAGCCGCTGCGAGCCGCTTGCCCGTGAGACGGCGTCGGCAGCGTGTGCAGCTGGCGAGGCGGTGGCCGCATTCGGCTCTCTCCTGGGCATCCGCCGCGTGAGCGCGGTGGTGCTGCCGACGCGATGCGTCGGCTGGCGGCGCGGGACGAGCGCCGTGCCGCTCCGTCGGTGCGCCGCACTGTCGCTCCGCCGCTAGCCGAGCCGAGGCACGCCATCGCCATCGGGGTGGCGACGGATGTGTGCTGGCGAGGGTCGGGGCGGCAGTCCTGACGCGCCGCTGCGTGGCCGCAGTAAAGCGCTCGACGCCGCGCGTCGAGTAGAGGAGCCGCGACGAGGGCGAGGCCGCCATGTCGCCGCGTGGCGAGCCAGGCCTGTCCGCCGAGCCGCTGCGAGCCGCTCGCCCGTGAGGCGGCGTCGGCAGCGTGTGCAGCTGGCGAGGCGGTGGCCGCATTCGGCTCTCTCCTGGGCATCCGCCGCGTAAGCGCGGTGGTGCTGCCGACGCGATGCGTCGGCTGGCGGCGCGAGACGAGCGCCGTGCCGCTCCGTCGGTGCGCCGCGCTGTTACTCCGCCGCTAGCCGAGCCAAGGCACGCCATCGCCATCGGGGTGGCGACGGATGCGTGCTGGCGAGGGGCGGCGGGCGGGGCGGCGGTCCTGACGCGCCGCTGCGTGGCCGCAGTGGCGCGCTCGACGCCGTGCGTCGAGTAGAGGAGCCGCGACGAGGGCGAGGCCGCCCTGTCGCCGCGTAGCGAGCCGGGCCTGTCCGCCGAGCCGCTGCGAGCCGCTCGCCCGTGAGGCGGCGTCGGCAGCGTGTGCAGCTGGCGAGGCGGTGGCCGCATTCGGCTCTCTCCTGGGCATCCGCCGCGTAAGCGCGGTGGTGCTGCCGACGCGATGCGTCGGTTGGCGGCGCGGGACGAGCGCCGTGCCGCTCCGTCGGTGCGCCGCGCTGTTGCTCCGCCGCTAGCCGAGCCAAGGCACGCCATCGCCATCGGGGTGGCGACGGATGTGTGCTGGCGAGGGTCGGGGCGGCAGTCCTGACGCGCCGCTGCGTGGCCGCAGTGGCGCGCTCGACGCCGCGCGTCGAGTAGAGGAGCCGCGACGAGGGCGAGGCCGCCCTGTCGCCGCGTAGCGAGCCGGGCCTGTCCGCCGAGCCGCTGCGAGCCGCCCGCCCGTGAGACGGCGTCGGCAGCGTGTGCAGCTGGCGAGGCGGCGGCCGCATTCGGCTCTCTCTTAGGCACCCGCCGCGTGAGCGCGGTGGTGCTGCCGACGCGATGCGTCGGCTGGCGGCGCGGGACGAGCGCCGTGCCGCTCCGTCGGTGCGCCGCGCTGTTACTCCGCCGCTAGCCGAGCCAAGGCACGCCATCGCCATCGGGGTGGCGATGGATGCGTGCTGGCGAGGGGCGGCGGGCGGGGCGGCGGTCCTGACGCGCCGCTGCGTGGCTGCAGTGGCGCGCTCGACGCCGTGCGTCGAGTAGAGGAGCCGCGACGAGGGCGAGGCCGCCCTGTCGCCGCGTGGCGAGCCGGGCCTGTCCGCCGAGCCGCTGCGAGCCGCTCGCCCGTGAGGCGGCGTCGGCAGCGTGTGCAGCTGGCGAGGCGGTGGCCGCATTCGGCTCTCTCCTGGGCATCCGCCGCGTGAGCGCGGTGGTGCTGCCGACGCGATGCGTCGGTTGGCGGCGCGGGACGAGCGCCGTGCCGCTCCGTCGGTGCGCCGCGCTGTTGCTCCGCCGCTAGCCGAGCCAAGGCACGCCATCGCCATCGGGGTGGCGACGGATGTGTGCTGGCGAGGGTCGGCGGGCGGGGCGGCAGTCCTGACGCGCCGCTGCGTGGCCGCAGTGGCGCGCTCGACGCCGCGCGTCGAGTAGAGGAGCCGCGACGAGGGCGAGGCCGCCCTGTCGCCGCGTGGCGAGCCGGGCCTGTCCGCCGAGCCGCTGCGAGCCGCTCGCCCGTGAGGCGGCGTCGGCAGCGTGTGCAGCTGGCGAGGCGGTGGCCGCATTCGGCTCTCTCCTGGGCATCCGCCGCGTAAGCGCGGTGGTGCTGCCGACGCGATGCGTCGGCTGGCGGCGCGAGACGAGCGCCGTGCAGCTCCGTCGGCGCGCCGCGCTGTTGCCCCGCCGCTAGCCGAGCCAAGGCACGCCATCGCCATCGGGTTGGCGACGGATGCGTGCTGGCGAGGGAGGCGGGCCTTATGCGCGACTCATTGCGCATCCGTTCCTGGGGGCGGCATCACAAGCGCTGCTGGGCTGCCGGGTTGGTCCTCGAGCCTCTGCTGTCACCAGTCGAAGCGGTGTCGGCGTCGAAGCGAGCCGAGGACCGCCGCGGCTCGGCAAACAGGGCGCCGTGTGTCGCCGCCTCGTCTTTCTTCTTTTCGCGAGAGAGCGGGAGCGTGAGCACGCGAGGCGTGGCGAGGACGCCTGAGGGGGACTGCCCGCAGGACAGCGGCGTCGCGTGTCCATGATCGCGGCGGCTCAGACTCGCTTTTGCCCCAGGGCAAATGGACACTGTCCTGTGGTCGTGCGATGCCCCTCTGCGAGCCGCCGTTCACGGCGTCATTCCACACGCTCCCTTCTCGTTCTTAGATACACGTGATATCGTAGATAAGTTGTAGGAGCGCAAAAAGGAATTGTCGCGGGGTTACTGACTGCACTCCAAGTGCTCCAAGTGCAAAATGGGAGAGCAACACAAAACGGCCCCGCGGGAGAGAGATTTGTTTTGTCCCCGCGGCGTCTCGCCATCCCGCATCCGGATGAGGTGACCTCCACGAGGAGACGAAGGAGGTGTACGAGGGCGAGGTCACTTGGAGCTCGTTCGCAGATTATTTCCCCTACCTCTCTCCCGCCACAGCAGGGGTACTCGAGTACAAACCGCCCGCCCGCACACGTACTTAGTCGTCCAGCTCACACAGCGCCGCCACCCCCCTCTTCACCCAGTGTTCCTGCGGCTGCTCCTCTAACCGCGGCAGCTTGAGGAACATGACAAAGTTGGTCGAATGGCCCGTCGTCGAGAGCGTGCCGCGCCGGTCGGACGTCTTGTAGAGGGGGCAGAGGTAGTGCGCCCGGTCGGCGATGTCAGCCTCCCGTTGCGGTCGCAGCCAGAGGGAGGGGAGTTTGGTGAAGAGTACCTTAGGTTCCGACTCGCCGAGCACCGCGCTGCTCTCGTCGAAGCGCGCGCCCTCCAGGAAGATCCCGTGCACGTACACGCCCTCCTGCGGCGCGACGGAGCAGTCGTGGTTCGCCGGGAGCACGTGCATGTCAAAGCCGAGGTGGTCGATCGGGATCGCGTTGGCCCTCGCGTAGTTTTGGCTGGAGCCCGTGAGGAACGCCTGTGTGAAGAAAAAGCCGGAGATCCAAAAGTGGGTCGGCACGCCGTTGTCGAGCCAGCCCTGGAAGAAGGCTAGGCCCTCCGTCGCGGTTGCTTGCAGCACGTTGGGTTTGGCCACGGTCGACGCCATCACCTTCCGCCATAGCCGATCCACCTGGGTGAAGCGCATGGCCTCCTGCGGCATCTGCCGCATGATGTCTTCCGATGAGAAAATTGGCTCGAGGTACAGCCAGACCGACTGACACTTGAGCCACTCGTCGATGACCTCCTGCATGCCGATCAGCTTTGCCTCCCACGCGTGCACGCGCGCCTCGAAAGGGCGGATGAAGGGCGACCCACGCATCGCCTGTGTCTTCACAATGTGGTCGTCGAAGAGCGACTGGATCTCGTCCAGGGCACGCAAAATGTGCGTGCCGGTGTCGCGATACTCGGCCGTGTCAAAGACGACCGGCCTCCACTCGGCCAACATCTTGTCGAGCGTCTTTTCGAGCGAGTGCTCCTTCGAGGCCATCTCCGAAACCTCCTGGAGCGCCGCCAAGTCCTTGTCGACACCCTCCTCAAGCAGCATCGCCAGAGTTGTGACGCCGGGCTGAGGCTTGACGCTCTTGCCGAGCGTCTCGTCCAGGTGGCGCCAGTGGCGCTCGCGAAGGCCCGGGTTCAGCACAGCTGCAAGTAATGGTAGGTGTTCTTTGAAGTCGTCCAGCTTGGCGCGCACCTGACTTATGACACCGAGTGGCCCCTCGTGCCCGACCAAGAGCTTGCTGACCTTGTACAGCTGCCGCCGCCACTCGTCGACGTCTTGCTCGACTTGCTCTGTGGAGATTTCGACGACAGGCCCCTCCATCCAGGTCGGGTGCGCGCGCGAGAAAGCGGCGGCGATGCGCCACAAGTTCGCGTGAGGCTCGAGGGCCTTCTCCAGCTCCGCAAGCTGCGGATACTCTATCTGCTCCCAGCCGAAGAGTACAGCTCGTGAGTTGTACAGCGCCCCCTGCTGCTTGGCAGCCTCGAGCTGCTCCTTGAGCTCCGTGACGTGCGCAGACGTCTCCTCGACGTTGCTGTTGGCGTTGAAGGCCGTCAGCGTCTTCGCCTCTGCCTCCCACGCCTCGAGTTGCTCGCCAAACCGCTCGCGGTCAGACTGCAGCTGCTCCTGAAACTGGATCGTATCGCGCTCCTGTTTGAGCTGCGCTGCCGCTGCCTGTTGCTCGATACGATGCGGCCAGCCCACTGCCTCGTGCAGCGCGGCGGAGGTCTCGTCTGGTAAGGCATAGGAGAACTGGTCGAGCACCGCCGCGCGCGCAAGCAGCTCGGTGGCAACGGTAAGACTGATGTCCCCGCACTCATCCGCGGCGGAGTCGAGCTGCTCCTTCATCGCCATCGCCGCCTCAGTCGAGTCCGAATCTTGCGTGAGCGAAGCTAAGAGCGACGAGGAGCGGCTCGCGACCGAAGCCGTCTTCTCAACGAGCTCGGCGTGAAGGAGGTCCGCAACGCCGCGTTGCAGAGTCTCAGCCTTCGCGACAAGCTCGGCACGGAGCTCCTCCGTGTGGACCAAGAGCAGCCGGCAGTGCACCTCGGATGGTGCCGCCGCTCGCACTGTCTCAGCCACCTCGCCCCAGCGTCGCAGCTCAACGCCAAAGGCCTCGAGGCTCGGCGCCGACTCGCGCAAGCCATCGAGGTAGCCGCTCTCCGCCATACTGGCCAGCTCCTCGAACTGGGCCATGTGCGCACGCAGCTGCCGCGGCCGCTCCAGGGAACGCTCAACCATCCTGCGCACCTCGCCACGTGCTGCCAGCACACTCATGCGTCGTGGGCAGAGGCGTGCGTCGTCGGAGGCAGCCTTATCGAGCGACCGTAGCTCTTCGAGTGCATCCACGCCCAGCTCAGAGGCGACGACGGCAGGCAAGCCCGCGGTAGCACCGGCAGCGCGGTCAAAGAGCCCCTCGAGCGCAGCCGCCACCTCTTCGAGAGTCGGCGCAAAGACGAGCGAGCTGTCCTCGAGCCGCAGGGCAACCGCGAGCAGCGGTGGCGCGGCGGGAGGCCATTCGTGCACCCACTGAATGACAGGTGAACTGCACTCCGACGCTGGCACTGCAAACCTGCACACGAGGCGCAGAATCTCCGCGAGCGTCGAGTACTCGAGGGCCTGCAGCTGATCTTGCATCATGAGGCGCAGTAGCTGCAACAGCCGAGGGCCGCGCCCATGGGCGTAGCTGTTGGTGGAGATGCCCCTCATCGCCCCGACTTCCTGTGCGAGAATGCGCTCGCATGCGGGCACCCATTCCTCACGAAGGCGCCGGCCGACGCCGTCGACGTGTGTCGCTTGTGTTTCGATGAACTCATCGAGCTTGCACGGCAGCTCCATAGGAAGCCCAGCGACGAGTGAGGTGGCGCTAAGCCAGAGCGACTCAGCCCACACGCGGCGGGTGCAGCGGAGCAACGCGGAGTCCGCAACGAGAGCTGGTGGCGAGGGGAGAGGGGTGGCGCCCGTCCCCGCCGCTGGCCATATCGCTTCCACCCCGAGGGACGGCGCGGGCGCATCGGAAGGCGGTGGCAGCCCGGGCGGCGTCGAAACTGAGCAGGTGCGCAATGACTGATCGAGCGCTGCCCGTCCCATTGCCTGGCTGTAAATCTCGAGCTGCGCACCAAGTGCCTGGCTGGTGATGCCCTCGAACCAAGCGACAATCTGCGCCGGAGCAGCAACCGTTCGCTCTACCCCTCCACCAAGGGCGCACTGATGATACCGCGCCTCGGCTTCAACCTGGGAGCGCAACGCTCGAGCGGCGCCCAATCGTGCGCGGAATCTCCTCTCGTCCTCACTATCAAACTGCAGGTTCAGCCGAGTCACTTGCTTCGTGCGGCCGCTCCCCCATCGTATCGTGAATGTTCCGCTTGCAGGGTCATGTCGGATCACCGTGCAAGGCTCCCACGACGTATCGCCTGAGGTCGAGCGGAAGCGCGAGCGAGCCGACACCGGTGTCTCAGAGAGGTGATGCCACGTCTCTAGTAGAAGCGGCTCCATGGTCTCTGGGTTGTCGAAGACCTCGAGCGGCAGGAAGCTCGACGGCAGAGGCTGAGCTGCGTCCGGTGCCGGGGTGAGGCCAAGCTGCGGACTCGACTCGAGCGTCTCTTGGCTGACGGCAACTTCGAGCTTGCCGCCGAGGAGGAGCGCGTCGGGGCCGAATCTACGGACCTTCTGGGTGGCTGCCATGTCGCGGTAGTTGGGACCGGGTGTGCACCCGGCCTCAGCTGCTGCCAGCCATGGCCGTGCAGCTTCTGCCCGGCTGCGCACCCCCGCCTTTGGTGGTGACGGCCTTGACGGCGGCGGCGGGACAGGCTGGGCTGCGTCGGCATCTAGCTCCCCATCGGAGCCCCGGAGGAGCACCTTTGGGATACGGAGCCGTGTCACTGTGCGTGCACCTTGCTCAGCGTCTCCTCTCCGTGGGCGGGGGCGGTATGTGTGCTTGGGAAGCAGTTGAGCACGAGGTGCCGCCTCGCCATTAGGCGCGGTCGGCAGCGTGCTTGCAAGGGTGGATGATTGACGAAGGCGCTGCACCGCACGTATTGCAGCGTCGTCTGCGTCGGCACTCATAGATGTATTGTGGCCCCTCGCCGCTCCTCATGTAACAGACGCGCCGAATGCGGTCTGCGGTCAGCGGCAAACCGCATTTTTTTATACGTCAGTAGCCGCACCCCCAACGTGTGCACGCACAGACCATTCCCGCCCACACAGCACGTCTAGGTCCACCAAAGGCAATTCAGGCCGGGTGCACCTCGCCAGGGTGGCGCGGAGCGTGGTGCGTGGATGGAAGCGCGGGGTTTTTTCCCTCTCTCTCACACTTTTTGTTTGTTTGAGTGTGTGAAGCCTGTGAACCTCTCATTACTCATACGTAGGACAGCGCGCAGCGCCATAGGGGGTATTTCCTTCTCAATAACAAGGTCTGTGGGTTCTGCCACACGCTCGGCACGCGGCGCCAGCGACCGCGGCGTGGCGGTGCTCAGCGGCAGCGTGCAGTTTCAGTGGACAGTGCACGCGTCTCTTAGAGTTTTCCACCACCGCTGCGGGCGCGGCAGCCCTCGCTGTGTGTCGCTCTCCAGATCGTGAAGGTGAATCGCCACGACGTGATAGATGTTAAACGGCTACACACTACACACGGTGTTGGTGACTCGCGCGAGGAGACTCTCATTCAGACAGCAACGCCGGGTTCTATCATTCTCCCCGCCGTGTGGGTTCTCTCTCCCCACTCTCCTGTGCGCCCTCGCAGCTCAGCCCATAGACAAAGCACGGGGGAAGGAGGGGGGGCAAACGACCGGCCTCAACCTCACCAGCCCTTCTTGCGCTACCCGGGCGGCGGCTGTGACAGCCTTTGCAGTCGCATCTGGCGCAAGCCTTCGGCGGAAGTGGGTGTCGCCGGTGCAGCATCCGCGGACGATGAGGCGCCGGCCTGATGGCCCAGACCCTCGGAGGAAGTCGCCGCCCCGGAGGACGACGCTGCCCCGGAGGAGGAGGTTGCTCCAGGAGGAACGGCTGACGGGTGCGGCTCGAGGACGGCGAGCTGCGCCTGAAGAAAGGGGGGGGGGGGGGTGGAGGTCGCGCTTTGAGATCTGTGCCCA